CACACACACACACAGGCTCTACTGCCCAAGGCGCTTGTAGAGCGCGCACTTAGGGAAATTTGCATATATGTTACACACACACACACACAAGTTTGGCGGTGTATATTTCCATGTTATAGCCGTAGATTCGTCCGATTTTGCTCATCCTCTCGATGGAAATAGCGTGAGGCCGGGCGCGGGGTTGGAGACTTACCTGTTGCCCGGTGCGTTCGCCATCCTAGCGACGGAAAACTCTCTCTCTCTCTCTCTCTCTCTCTCTCTCTCTCTCTCTCTCTCTCTCTCTCTCTCTCTCTCTCTCTCTCTCTCCCTCCTCCACCATTTCTCTCTCTCTCTCTCACACACACACACACATTCGAAATGACGACACACACACACTCGAAATGACCACACACACACACACACACATTCCAAATGACGACACACACACACACACACCTCTCCTCCCCCACCTCTCTTCCTCCGTCTCTCCTCCCCCATGTCTCCTCCACCATCTCTCCTCCACTATCTCTCCTCCACCATCTCTCTCCCTCTTTCTCTCTCTCTCTGTTACATGCCCAGTTGGGCGATGTACATATGAACCGAGGATCCGCAATGTGATAAAAAGGACTGAATGGACAATGCAGTGCAAGTAGAATCTCAACAAGCAATGTGCATTCCGATACATACAAAATGGTCATAACGCAGACTGAACATACATCATTACCATCACGAGGTGTGAAGAGACCTGGCGCTGTACACAGGAAGATGGCGTCAGGCTCTGACCAGGCACAGACGAAGAGGAGGGGAACAGACGAAGAGGAGGGGGAGAGATGGGAATGTCGTCAACACCAAGTCTTTGTCACGAGTCCCAAATAATCCCTCGCCAAAATGTCTGAAGCCCAAAAGTCGAGTCTGGATCCAATGTCACCAAGATCTCTCTCTCTCTCTCTCTTTTTCTCATCGTTTGCTGATGCAGTGAAGTCAGATATTGAGAGGGTGAGAGGGAGATGGTGGACTGAGAAGAGGAAGAAGAAGAACTCTCTCTCTCTCGTATGCCAGGTACTAACCTGTGAAGATGGCGCTGTGCTGCAGGTACCTCGAAGACAAAGCTGGAGCAACGGCGCTGCAGGTGAGTATCCCTGGCCTCCGCCCAATCTCTCTCTCCCTAGTACTACTCTAGCTATGGCGCCCAGTGCTGAAGACTACAGCTAACGCTACTAGCGCCCAGCGCTGAAGACTAATGCTAACACTACTACTACTACTCCTGCAGCGCTCCTCCAGAGTGCTGCTGCCGAATCCCGAAGACTACTGACTGCTCCTGCCTTGCACGTGAAGTGCCTGGGAAGTACCTAGGAGCTCCCTCCCAACTACCTGCAGCCTGCAGGGCGGGACAGTCTTATATAGTGCTGGCCCGTCCAGGAGGCTGCTCTTGCCAATGCCAAAACGTGCCAGACCCTGGGGTTGAAGCTCAAACAAAGGTTGTCTTGAAAATAGGCCAAAAATGGCCTGAGCTAAAACCCTGGTCTGGTGCCTGAGTTTCAGGGCAGGTCGAACTGATGAGGGCCTGAAAAATGGCCCTCAGTTTCAGGCTGAAAATACTCAGGGCCGGAAAGGCCCTGATTTAGCCTGAAACAACACAGGGCCTGTAGGCCCTCGTTTTCAGGCTTTCAGCCTTTCAGGCTGAAAACGACACGGGTCTGAAAATGGCCCGTGCAGCCTGTTGCAGGCGCAGCATGTAACACCCCCCCTTGCTTATGAAGTCAAGCCGGCTCGAGGGCGAAGCTGACGATCTGAAGGTGGAACCTGGTCGCGGGTGCGACGTGGAGCCGAAGATACCGGCTTGCCTTGCATTAGTGCGCAAAGTGTACCAAGTATTCGGTCGGTCTGTTGTCGTAGCTGCGGTAAATGCAGCCTCTCGGCGACAAGGCACCGGCCTCAAGAAAGATCTCGTGAGAGATCGGCCGATCCGGCACCACACCGGAAGATGTCGGTGAGCTCGTCAAGCAAGCGCACCACACGGGGGTCCGAAGACGAGGTCGTGGGGGAAGAATTGACTTGGCGGTCACCACTTGGCACCGAATCGAAGGGTGCGGAAGAGGAATAGTACACGGCATTTGGCGCCGAAAGCGTCGCGAACGCTAAGAGTCCGCCGGTGGAAGTTGACCGTGTGATCCGCACTTGCAAGCCGAGGCATTCCCGGAATGATGTCGAAGTCCGTGTCCAAAATGTCGAACGTCACCGGTTCGCATGCATGAGGTGAGAAATACACCGGTACGGCCTCGATGTAGCGGTCGATAAGTTGCTGCGTCCTTCCGTCCGCCAACTTGATCGTCGTCGGGTTTGCCTGCCTTCGAACTTGTGCGCCAAGGCCAGCCCTTTGCATAAAGGCTTGGCTCATGAAATTGCGAGTCGCTCCGCTATCCAGCAAAGCGCTGCAGGATGCTTGCCCAACTTGGATGCGGACATAAAGGAGCGGTGCGTTGTTGTCATCGTACCGCTGCGTGCGAAACTCGGGGGCCACCTTGGTAACATACGTCAGGATATCCCCCACCGCGACTTCGTCATCCGTCGGCGAAATTGGTGGTGCATAGAGGGATGAGTACGTGTGAAGATGAGCGCATAGTGCTGCCCATTGCGGTCCCGGCAAGCGGCCCGTGGTCGGGAGAGGAGGCTATGCGAAATCCTCAGACGTGAGCGGGTCCAATACCTCTATGTTGAACTCGCGCGCCGAATCCCGTGAAGAATCACTTGAAGACCATAAGTCATCGCTGCCGGACGGAGAAGATGCCACACACACGTCTTGTCCTTGAGCATGAGAACCCAGCGTAGGAACGAGCCGGGCAGCATAGTCCTCTAAAGAATAAAGAAGAGGAGGACTATCGA